TTAAAGGTAAGTAAATTAACACAAATCTACTAATATTTTTTACAAAAAAAAGTTAGTAAAGCACTCAACAAGTAAAAGGTAACTTAACAGACCGGTATTAACTAAAAGTCGAAAACTGAAATGCAAAATGATTTTCAACTAAGTTTATTACTTTACGACCACTTTAAGTTATGCAAGTGGTGCAATACAAAATGCACCCGTTAGTAATTTTATGTTTAACTATGCATATATTTTAAAATTGTTTAATATTTCGGTTCTAACGTCATCATATTTCTCGTTCAAGAGTAATGTTAATCCAAGCTTTCTGGTACCATCTTCCAACCAACAAATGAACTAACATCAGGTGGGGTCGTAGACGATCAAGTGCACAAACTTAAAATAAAAACTAGTAATAAATATAGGCTAAGTTAACCAATAATCTATACTATTATAATAAAGCGTAAACACACACTTCTTTGTTGCCTAAGATGTCAGCAATTACAGCATTGTTTTGAATAATTCCTTTTTTAATATAAGCCATACACTTACGTCACGCTTTAGGCTATATATTTTCACGCCATTAAACTTAGGGGGTAAATATTTTGGATAAAAACCCTAATATGGGAAAGAGATCATAAGTTGCTGCCAATATCAAGAAAGAAAGATTGCTAAGGTTTGTCATGTCATGTCATTTTGACATTTGCTATTGATAATTTAACAAATGTAAACAATAAAATAAATCATAATTTCATGGGGATGAAGCAGCACGGGAACATCTAGAAATGTATATTAGCTTTCTAACTGTAAAAAAATTTTTGAAATCTGTTCAGTAGTTTTTGAGTTTATTCATTACATACGAAAATGCAAATCGCTCCTCTATATAATATTAGTATTGGTTAAAATATATTTTATGATTCTTAAAAAATAACCGCCTATTGGTATTTTATTCCGGGTCTATAAATTTAAACGCATAGATCTAATTACATGTGTTTTTTAACAAGTTTTGTTGAATGTAGATTTATAATGCTCATATAATATGACAAAAGTATTGACCACTTTTAATACCATCGGAAAAGATACAGGTTTCTTGCTTCCTAGCGAGTTGCGTTTCCGTTAATTTGAGCTCGAGCATGTCACTTGCCGGCCTTGCGCCTATTTAATATGAATCAGTTTATGAATAATATTGTGATAGTAAAATGTGAGAATAAATATTATATCTTGTTGGTTTTAATGACTGCATATTTTGTAAGATCATTTTTAGTAACTCACGAGAAAAACTCGGATTATAATTTCTTAAAAGGCACTTGAGTTTTTCAACTAAATTACATTTTCAGTTACCATACTTAGTTTCGTTCTTTTTCTAAATTGTAACATTAAGTTAGTAACTTATATGTAATTTTGATGTCTCACTTCAGAATGATATATAAATAAGAATGTTTGGATAAATGTATGTTCATTACTATGATTCTTTTTAAAATGTATTTCGGTGAAAGGCACAAATGTTACATGGGACACACAGGCTACTAAGTATTTTTATCAATTCACTCGAATAAAGTTGCGGGCAAAGGCAGTATGCAATCATATCACAGTCTGAGAGAAAGAATCAAAAAATAACGCACTACAAATGTTAAATTTTTTGCGTCGCGAGTCTGAATAAGAAAACTTTACAATAGAATTAAATGGATTGTAAAAGAAAAAGCCTCTGAAATTAAAAGAATTTTTTATCTCGGCCGCTACATTTTTACGTCATTCTGATTTGAGTTTCGTCGAACGTCGCATTGAACAGCTTTATTTCCGGACGTCGAATTGAAATTCTATCGAAAGATTTTTTTTCCTTTTAATAAAATCAGAAGAAATATTGTCTTGTTTTTTTTTGTGGTTAAAAATCAAATATTTATTTTCGAAGTAAGCGAATCAATTTATTTCTAAAATGTTAGCTCATAGCTATATACATAGCTTTTTTTATTTTTACGCATAAAGAGAATTTAAGAATGTGCACATTAGAGGAAGTTTGAAAGTAGCGCCAGTGGTGGAGAAATTGAGAAGCAAAAGGTTAGCGTGGTATGGACATGTTATGCGACGAAATGATGGGGACATAAACCAGAAAGTGTTGAGATTGAATGTGGATGGCTACAAAGGAAGAGGAAGACCGAAGAAAGTATGGATGGATTGTGTGAAGGAAGATATGCTTAAGAAAGGAGTGGATTCAGATATGACGGCTGATAGAGATGTATGGAAGAGCAGCACATACTGTGCCGACCCTCCATAAGGGATAAGGGCAAGTGGATGATGACGCATAAAGAGAATTTGCCTTTTAAATTTAAGCTGGAATTTGATAAATCATATCGTGTACATGGTTCCCACCTGTCACATGTAAGGTTAGCATGATGCACATTCGGTCGTCCATCATAGAATCAAGGGTTGAACATATTTTCGTCATTTTGGTTCTAAGTTTGAAAGTTGGCAGACCTATTTTCAGACCTATTTTGAACCTACACTTATATGATACAGATCGAATGACTCAACCCTTTTAACGTAGGTAGTTATTACATCTAGACCTTGTTCATTTATTCTCAGTTTAGTTAGCAACTTGTTATACTTGTTTACTAAATATCTATGTCACTTTAAAGGCAAGAAGCACACTTGTGTGAAAGAAACATGCTTTTGGGGACCCAAGTAACACGACATTAGATTTTTGACATCAGACATGCAAGTAAAGGGAGATAAAGGGAAGCTACAAAAGTTGCAACTAACAAGTGCTGTTTTGTGAATTGGTATGTGTATTCTTGCCCTAACTATTACTGATTTCAAACAACTAAATCTAAATGTATTAAAACAAAGTATGTAACTTATACGTTAATATAAGCTAGCTTTCGCCCGCGACTCCGTCCGCGTGAAAATAAAAAAAAAACAAAAGTGTGTTCTTCCAGACTATCCTCTACATCTGTATGCGAAATTTCATCAAGATCCATTTAGTCGTTTAAGCTACAAACTCTAACAAACATCCATCCATCTAAACTTTCGCATTTATAATATCAGTGAGTGCGAACAGTGAGATTACCAAATCTGTATCAAAACTGCATACAAAAAACCCAGCAGCTGTTTGCCACAAGAATACTAAAATGGTTAGCATTTCGTGTCTGTGGTTGCCTTAAATAGGATATACTTATCTCGGTAATCTTACGAACACAATGTCTCGTGTGTTACCATTCGCGACATACCTTTTTTTATAATAGTTTATCCTTTCTTTCAGTTTGTTCTAATTTTTGCACATACATTAAGCAATTTAGAGTCCAAGTTAAAAATAATCCAGCCAAAAGTAGAAAAATGTATTTAAAAATTCATGAAAAGATAAATTCTTAACTAGTCCTACTTATATTAAAGATGGGAAAGTTTAGATAGATGGATGTTTGTTAGGGTTTGCCGCTTAAACGGCTAAACGGATCTGGATGAAATGCTAATTGTATCTTCTATCTACACATATAAAATTATTGGAGTCTCTGTTTGTGATATCAAAAGAAAAATTCCAGATTTCGGGAAGATGAAGTATTTGCGTTGCTTATAGTGAAAATCGCATTTAATTTTTTTTGTCTATCTGTCTGTATGTCTGTCCGCAAGCCGCGTTCGTTTGGTTATCCTCGGCCCAGCCGTTTCGACCGGACTTTCACTGAAGGGTATCTGAAATAGACGGGCATATTATAGGCTATTTTTTATGTTAATATTGCATGGACGAAGTCGAGGACAACAGCTAGTGTAAACATAAAACATATTTGATCTCTAGTTTTCTTGTCTTGCTCAGTTAAACTGTTCTATTTGACGCAAAATATTGACTTCGACGTGTTATGTAATAGAATTAGTTCCGGTTATCCCAGATTCACAATGTAACTGGGTCTCGTGTTAAAGATTCTTTCAAACTATACCAAAATTCAGTTCCAATTTAAAAACAAAGAGTCAGTCAGTTTGACTTCAAGTGTTTGCGAAGCGCTTTCTGTTATTCAAATTTAAAACGTTTTGCATAAAAAATAATCACTTGCCAAAACTGATACAATTGTTTCAAGCGAGAACAATCATGGACATCATTTTGAAACGGTTTAACTCTCAAATATGACTAGGTCATAAAATTTTCACTTTTTGTTTTAATATCTTTTGTCAGGTACCAGGGAACTAGAAGTGTGAGGAGCTGCCTCCAAATGGACTGGTGAACTAGGGAGGGAAAAGCTTATGGAAATACTTAGGTCCAGCTGTGAACTGACATCCCTGATGAAGAAGCTTTAATCATAATTAACTATAATTATTAATTCTAAAATTCAGTAGGTGTTAGATGAATTACTTCACGTACATAATATCAACTTGATAAAGGTTAACTAGTTTAGATTAAAGGAAACCTTGACAATTACAGTTGTAAATAGATTTGACATTAAAATTAGTTAAGAAAATTATTTGATTCTTTGTAAAAAAGTTAATGGAACTCACAAGAAATAAATTTACCACACATTTATGATCTGATCTAAGCATGATCTTACTAGTTTTTACCCGCGTGGAATTAAAAAAAAGTAAAAGCAAGTAATCTATGTGTTCTTCCAGACTTGTGCCAATTTTCAACGAGATTAATTCAGTAGTTTACGCTAAAAACTCTAACAAACATCCATCCATCTAAACTTTTGCATTTATAACAATAGTTCTTACTATTAGTTCTTGTCTTCAAGATAAGATGATTTTTTTATTAAGTGTTGATGACAAATTTTCTTACTAACATACCTCTATTCACATAATTCCCGGACATCCCGTACTACAATCATAAAGTTTCCTCCATAGATAGTCACAACATTGTCATACGCACCTGCATAAATGACACATAATATTAGCATACCCTGTACCCATAAATCTTTCTTTGTATTACTTTCTGCGAGATCAAGCAACGGCCTTGCGTTTCCGGATACATCTTAATGAGCATATACTTACGTACACGCATTTTTAAAGATCACCAAGTGAGCCAACCGCGCCCGCGCGTGTTATCCGTATAAAAGCTCTGCTGCCTATTTGTCGGCATTCATTCAACGAGTGGAAATCATCCCGACTAAACCACAATGGCAGCTAAGGTGATTACAGTGCAGTGTTATCGTGCTTAGTTTTAGAAATAGTCGTATACATTCAAACATTTTCATTGCTCTTATGGATCATAGTTCCTTAATTGATTTGAACATTCTTAACCCTTCAATTGTTTTCTTATTTCCAAATCGTTTATTCGATATTTTAGCGCTCACTAAAATAATAACATAAATGATTAGTTTTATGTCGTCAACTAACTGCTCGGACAAATACTGTATTTATGTCAATTTCAATCTAAATAATGCTTTGACAATTCTTCTAGTCTTAAAGCGAAAAACGAGTAATTTTTCCTTTTTTCAATATTTGTACAAAATACTTATTTCTGTTATTCAATTGTTCCATTATCTATACGAAGGTCTTTTGTCATATAAGTGGAGTAGACCAAAATAAATATTCAAGTACACCGGTCACGTAAACTCGGACCATTAATATTCTTTTGACGGTTGCTTAAGAATGTAGCATCAATTTTTACATTAACTACGTGCAGACTCGTTACATATCAATCAATCAAAAGCTCATTCCATTTTGAACTCCAGCTTGTATTCAAATCTTACAATGTGCAATACGGATCACATATCAATGATGTGTGGTTAATCATTCTATGCAAGATTTAATTTAACCTAACTAATCGGTTTTGACTAACCACTTTAAGGTAGATTGTCTTTCCAAGATTAGAAAATGCAAAGATGTTAAAACTTGTAATAAGTCTTTCATTTATTTGTTCAATTTTTATTTATAGTTCGTCGTAGTGCTCGCTTTGGTAGCCGTGGCCCACAGCTCCGTGGTGCCGGTAGTACCAGTCGCGAAAGCAGACGACTACACAAGCTTCGCATATGACGTCGCAGACCCCAACACCGGCGATTTCAAGAGCCAGGTCGAGACCCGCGTCGGTGGCACCGTCAAGGGACAGTACTCGCTTCTTGACGCTGACGGCACCAAGCGCACGGTTGACTACGCCGCTGATGATGTCAACGGATTCAACGCTGTCGTCAGGAAAGACCCAGCTGTTGTGGCTGCTCCCGCTGTTGTAGCGACTGCTCCTGCCGTCGTAGCCGCTCCCGCCGTCGTCTCGTCCGCCCGTACCGTTGTCGCTGCTGCTCCTACCGTTGTAGCGTCTGCGCCTACTGTCGTCGCCTCCGCTCCCGTGGTAGCCTCTGCCCCTGCTGTAGTAGCCGCCCGCGCTTACGCTCCATCCCTGTACGCTGGTGCCTTGTACTCGCAGAAGTACTACTCCCCGACCGTCTACGCTGCGGGAACACCTACTGTCGTGACCCGTAACTTGGCCGGCCCTGCCTACTACACCGCGTCCGCTCCTGTCTTCGCCCGCACTGTCGCCGCGCCCACATACGTCGCCCAATCTCCCTACAGCTACGCTGCGTACTCTTCCCCACTTACCTACTGGTAAATACCTCAAATAGAATATGTAAACGACGTATCCAAATACTTGGCTTGTAAATAGTTAATTTTGTACATAACCAGTGCGTGTGTAATAAACAAACTGATTTCCAATTTGTGTATTTATTTACAAGAAACTGGTAATTTTAAGTATGAAAAGATTAAATTGACCAGAGACAATATAAGTTTAAACTATCCATGAATACGACAACAAAGTATAGATCTTAAAAGTAATGAAAAAAAGTTATCATAATTTTGTACACCCATATGGGAATGAAAAAGAAAACATTTCTTTCATTGTAACAATAACCAAAATTACATTTTAAAACAGAATCCCTAGAGAAGTATATAAAATGTATTCTCAAATGATTCTCACGCCATAGCAGCAACGGACATCCTATTAATCATACATCGCATTGGTATGGAATAAGTCTGGCCACGACTTGAATACATCATTTAAAAAAAACTCAATGTATTCCATTTTCAAATTACTAGTTGTTGCCTGCGAGTTCCTCCGCGTGGTATTAAAAAAGAACTTATTGAGTTAGAGAGAAAAATATTATTTTCTTTATTACTGTTTTTGTAGATTATAACCTATTTAGTTATGTCTTAAATTTCATCCCGACCCTACACATTTTGAAGTAACGTGGCAATAAATGTCCATACCATTTTTTACAATTTTATTAAAATGTATATTTCCATCAGACTTCAAGGTATACTACATAAAGTACTCTAGTCCAGTATTATAATAAGTTGAATAAGAAACTGTGATAAGCAGTTTTTAGATTTACTAGCTCAAGGTTCATTTAACCTAATTGCGGAATTGCTTACGTCTGTCTTCTGTGTGGTCATGGTATAGCACCGGGCAAGCCGTCTCATTCGTTCTGCAGGTGTTGCTGGCATATACCACTGTTGTTACATAAATCTCATAAAAATACTACTTGCATTACAATTAATGATTAACGCCAATAGCCTAATGGTAAAGGGTAGGTATTTCTAATAATGTGATCGAAGGTTCGAATCCCGCCATTCCACTATTGTCGTAAAACCTAACACAAGCCTAAAACTTAGTATGGTACAAGAAATATTAGTAGATTAAAAAAATCTACTAATATTTATTAAAAAAAATAAGTAGCGCAATTAAATTATAGAAAAGTAAAAAACTTACTTAAGACATATACGTTAGTTATGAGTGTGGAAGGGTACATCGGTAGAGGTAGACCTCGAAAGAGATGGATGGATTGTGTAAAAGGTGACATGATCAAAAAGGGAGTGATGACTGAGATGACGTATGATAGAGTTATCTGGAGGACAAAAACCTGCTGCGCCGACCCTATGGGAGTAGGATAAGGAGATGATGATGACGACAAAAAGAAACATTTTTGCAATTACTGTAACTGATTGTCTTTCATTACTTTGTGGCTAAATAATTATTTTTTGGACACGATGATTTAATATTTAATAGAAATTTAACATAAAAACGAAACATAAAAAGAAGGTACAATCCTTCCAAGCTTTAGGCAATTTAAAATAATTTCAATGGTAGATTCTCCTTAATATTGGCTTATCGAGCATATGTACAAAACCTAATTAACTATTATACACAAATGCAAATTCTTTGTTACACTACACTTATAGTCAAAAGGTGGTAAAATATTATGGATATCTTAGAGCTTCTATTGTAATTGAGTTTTGAAATGAATTACACTATGATTTTTTTAAACAATCATCGTTATCATAAACTCAGTATTCGTCTCCAATGTCATCATTCGAGCTCATGCTCGCAGTCTACTACTAGAGGTGACTAGACCTTTTTTTTTTCCGAAGGGAAATGCTTTCTGCATACTCCATGCCTCTGGGCAGACACGAGAGTTATGTGGGACTCTCCCCCCATAGAGGGGGGCATACCTCACTAAACCCCTTCGTTCCCTCCTGGCCATTTTGTGGGACGCCACGGGATCGCTTGCGCTTGCCACCGCGACGCCCCACTGACCGCCCCGGGAAGGGGCCCTCGTTGCGTCCCAATAAATTAGGACGCTGCGCCCTAAGGCGCCCCTCGGTAGACGGCACCGTGCAATGCAGGTTCGGAGACCCAGCCTCGCCCGCTGGTGCCGCCAGGGATTGGGGGTGTCTAGACCTCAGTCAACTACGCCGGGGCGCTGCGAGTTGATTTTACACATATCTTTGAATTTCTTCATCGCAGGTTGCATTACGATGTTTTTCTTCACCGTAAGAACGTCGGTTAAATTACGTAGTTGCATATGAAATTCTAAAAATGTAAAATCACAAGTATATGGCGAGATTCAAACCCAGGATCTGTGGATTACAAGTCAAGTGCTTAAACCCCTGAGCCACCGACGGTTCAGAGTAAGAACGTCGGTTAAATATAATATAATATTACGATTACGTCATACTTATTAGTATTTGAACTATGTCAGATAAATACAGGACAGGAATTAGATAACATTAACAAAATTACGGTCGCACTATAATGATCATATATCAGGTATCATTGAATATATCCTAAATTAATAGAAATTATCAATTATCAGGTATTTTTAATAGCTAACGACTTCCCATCGAAAATTTTAAGATTTGTATAAAAATGCTGAGATTTGTTTAAACGGCATCATTTACCAACTGACAAAGGTCCCAATCCCAGCAGAAAATGGCAGCTAAGGTAACAGGAAAATTATCTGCAATAAATTTTTGATTTTTTAGTAAATTAAACTAAGTTAATTTTTAATAACTTTATTCTTCAAATTCAATACGTAACATTACTCAAGGTGTCCAAGTAACTTATCTTCGCTTTATTGTGCTTCCCGTTATTTCGTATTCTGACGATTCTTCTCTTTCAGCTGATCGTAGTCCTCGCCTTCGTGGCCGCAGCTCAAGCGTCGATAATTTCAACATCACAAGACAACGACTACACAAGCTTCGCATACGATGTCGCTGATCCTAACACCGGTGACTACAAGAGTCAAGTGGAGTCAAGAATCGGAGGCACTGTCAAAGGCCAATACTCCTTAATCGATCCTGATGGCACCAAGCGTATCGTCGATTACACCGCCGACGATATCAATGGATTCAATGCAGTTGTGCGAAAGGAACCAGTCGTTACTCAAGCAGTAGTAACTCCTACTGTAATTCCTGCCTCAGTTGTATCCACACCGTACTCGGTCTCTTCACCTTCTGTCTACTCTGTGGGCTCTCCGAAGTTCTTCACCTCCTCCCCAAGTGTATACAATGCAAGAAGTTACGTTGCACCTTATTATTATCCGCGTTCTTACTCCTACGATTCTTATGCTGCCCCATTAAATTATTATTATTAACACTGAAATGCGATGTAAATATATATGTAAAAAATGTGACTTTTGAATAATAAACGGATTATGTCAAATATTGTGTTTTCTGTTTCGTTTTTACTTACTATTTTTAGATATGATGTTAAGAGATTTTAAACAGTATTTTATGAGTTTCCACAAAATAAAAGGAAAGGCGGTTAATAATATTATTTACGGTTAATTTATTTTTAAATTGTATTATTTACCAGAAAAAAAAACTGTTAATTCAATAAATTTGTTTCATATAAGATTTACCATTTTACATAAATTCTTTTCAATGAGTATATGACCTTTTTTATAACAATCAATTTTACAGAAATAATGTGTTTTAAAGTATTAAATTATATTCAGATAGAAATTAAATTACAAAACCATAAATTAGAGCAGTACTATGTATTGCATTAGAACAGTATCTTACGTCTATTGTAGTACTGACTGGAAAAAATATAGAAACAGTAACCAGGCATGTGAGGTCCTGAATTCATTTGATGCAACTTAAGTTAACTGTGTATAACTTAGTATACTTATATCAATCACAAACGTTTACACAACAAAATATTCTTGTTTCAGAAACTATTACAATACGTATTTTACAACAGTATATCTTGAAAATATTGAAGTAAATATAGAAAATAGTGCACATTTTATGTCCACGTATATATTGAGATTATAAGGAACAATACACTTAGATATTATGTGCGTTAATAAATATAAATTAAATAATTATATATACTACTATAATAAAGCATAAACTTACACTTCTTTGTTGCCTAAGATGTCAGCAGTTACTGTATATTTTTGAATATTTCCTATTTTAATAAAAAGCCCTACACTTACATCACGTTTTAGGCTGTATATTTTCACACCATCAAACTTAGGGGGTAAATATTTTGGATAAAAAACCTAATGTGGGAAAGAGACCATAAGTTGCTGCCATCAAGGAAGCAAGATTGACAAGGTTTGTCAAGTCATGTCATTTTGACACTTGCTATTGATAATTTGACAAATGTAAACAATAAAAAAATCACTATTTCATGCGTAGCCGCACGGGATCAGCTAGTGATTTAATAGTTCAAAGCACTGCATTGGTACAGCATAGGAATGCATATCTTTAAAAACTAAATCAATCGGATGCCAAGTATTTAAGGATAAAAAAAAATTAAACATAGTATAAAGCGTCAATGAAAATATTAGTAGATTTTTGTTAATTTACTAACATTTCCTTTAACCATTCCAACTAAGCTTTAGGCTTGTGCTAGGATATGGTTCACTACAATAGTCGAATGGCGGGAAACCCTCGACCGTAAGATCAAACCATTGCTATTGGCGATATTCATTGGCCATAATTGTTCCCGCAGTTGTTAAATATACACAAATTTAAAATCATAGACAAAGTTAGATATATGATTATTTAGTTGACAGTTATTCTAATCATTTCGCCAATTATTTACAAGTTATAGCTATGTTTTAAATAGTGAAAAAGACTTCATCTGTCTCTCTCTCCAATATAAATAACAATAATAGTTCATTACTTTTAAGTAATAAATATAATGAGTTTTGTAATTCTTGACATATATTTACATTTAAAATATAAACAATGGTTACATACACTCGAAAATCATAAGTTAAGCTCTGCTTGACTTGTATATTTGAGCTTTTAGACTTAAAAATATTACCACTTAGAGTTTTTCAAATTCTAATTTTATTTGCTGAACTACGAGTATATTCTGTTCCAATTAAAGACTATGCTTTCTAAAATATCTGCGCCAATATATTTCTTACATAAAGCCCGCTACACCCGTTCAGTTTTATCTGACTTTTGTCGTAACAGTCGTATCGTTCAGATATATCTTACTTGTGTAGGAGAAAATGAAAATTGAACAATTATAAGAGCGTGTGCAGCGGGCTTAACATTTTTAATCATATTTACAATGTCTTTGTATTATTATATAATTTTAACAAAAAAACAATCGACGTCTTCTATCTGACGGTTTCTACAGGTCTCAATTTGGAACAAAGTATAAATATGTGGTTCTTTTTTTTAAAAAAACGTTCACAAAATTATATTATTGCTGTCCCTGTCTTGTCAAAGAGTAAGAGAAAGACAACAATGTTTATATTTTTATGTTGGTACTTCGGCTATTGTTTCAGCAGCATGTTAACGGTTTTCACAATTTGTTAACATTTTAATAGGCGGTCATAAAGGTATAGGTCGAATATGTACATTTTTGGCAAGATATATGGAATATATAAAAAAAAAAGATATGCTATGAAGTTCAACAATCCAACATTTTGTGGAGCGTTTAAAAATATCTTTGATAAATTACATTTCGGACTGCTTTACCGTATTTAATATTATTTACATTAATTTATTTGTAGGAATATGTTGATAATAGAAAAAAAATGTTATATAAAGATATTATTTTTCATAAATAGTTTAGAAATCCCTATCAAGAATTTTTATAATATTAAAAAATTCACAAAATATAGAAATCTAATAAATAGTAGGTATAGAACAATTTTTTGCTTTAAAAATGGCTTAAATTAGATTTATTACTAGTACCCTACCTTACCCTTTACAACGGGCTGCTTGTTTTGTTTCTGCGAATATGTTTTTTTTTTATTAAATCAATAATTTTACCAAGGAAATAATTTTACAATAATATAGAAGTTAATGTAAATTAAAACGTTTTTGGATGTTTTTTAGGTAGTCTTATCATTGATATTGATATAAGTCTTCATATAAATAAGTTTTAGTTTTAAAAATACGCTTTTTTACTTTTTTTCTGGCTTTAAGTAACCTCTTTCGTCCATCGTTAGTCTTAATCGGAACGCTTCGAAATTTTTATAATCCATTTCTTCGCTTTTAATTTCCGTATTTTCAACGATTGTTATTTCATTGCCTATACTCGTGTCAATCCATTGTAGAGTAGAGGTGCTGTCGCATGGCACGAAGTACGTCGAACCATCAGTCTGAGACATCACAGTCGATGCCAAGTTCATTTGGTCCCACGTCATAGACATGTTGTTTAGAAAGGCCTCCCCATATCTGCGGAAATTAATCGGAATATTAACAATATTTTAAAAATAGAATACCCTTATCCTAATTTATAGTACATTCGAAATTCAAAGTTGGAATCAAAAGAATTCTATCTGAATTTAGGCATGTCAAAATAATGATCGGTTCACACTTAGCCAGTACAGTTGTACAGTTGCGACGGCAAGCGACACTCATTCGCGTGTTATGATATGTGTGATGTTATGATCACAGTCTGCCATATAATTGACGGTCCAATCAGAGCGCTACTAAACAACTGTACTGGCCAAGTGTAAACCGCGTATTAGACTATTCACGTTCTCACTTCAAGGTAATCGCGTGTCCTTGTCAAAATTTGAAGGTCAAACAGAGTTCGGTAATATGCCTAAAAAATTAATGTTGCCATTTCGAATATTTTCCCTAAAACGAAATTAAGGTCATTAGGTTAGACCAGAATATTAACAAAAAAAATATTCCTTAAATTATGATGTAGGTTACATTAATTTGAAAATAGGAATACTTAATATTTTTACCAATTATAAAATATGATACTTTTATAATAAGACTAATTTTATATTGTTTTTATTAGTAAACACAATTACAATGTTACTTTATTTTTACACTTTATCTGTGCCCAAATAAAATAATTTATTTAATCTGTTACTTGACCTACATTAGAGTCTTAATTTATTGTGTTTTTATGTAGATATTTTGGCAGTACGCGTTAACTGGAATGCGGTAGTTTTAGATAGATATTAAGCAATTACTTTAGATATAGTAGTAGCAAGTAACATTTGATTTAATTGTACCAGTTTTATGATTTCATTACTAAATAGGTTTATTTAATTTTAGTTAATATGCTAATTCGGGCATACAAGAATCATGACGTTATCATTATTATTTATTGTATAAGATGGCAAAATCGTTATGTATTAAAAAAATATACTGGATTTTAAATTCAATTATTCATACTATATTCTGTACGGTCCCCGTTTTTGAAAAATATCGGTTAATAGTCGTTTAGAATTAATTAAGCAGCAAGAATTGTCTCTGATTGACATTGCTATTAACAATTGACAGGAGTTAGTGTATAAATCTTTCACAATTTTCAAAAACGGGGCTTTATTGATGTATTCTTGGTATGTTTATGTTAATATAAATTTACCTATATCTCGTTGTTCTGCTGCCGCATCTGCTGTCCCCAATCATGATGATAACTTCAATTCAATCCGGTTATGCTATATGCCAATTAATTTGCAACCGGGCTATAGATTTAGGGTTGGAAAAGGTTTATAGGTATAGATTGGGTAGGTGTACTGTTTGTGATAGTTGTAATAAATTTCTGGCTAAGATGCAATATTTTTAACTAAATATAATATATATTTAATGTGTCATCTAAATTGTAAAATGGATTTTTTTTTATCTGTGTTAACTATGAAATTAAATGGACATACTAAAATATTACACTAATTATTTGTGTGCTTTTCGGTATATTTATCTGAGTTGAAAGGAAAGGATTTAGGATTTTCAGGATGTTTTTCAGAGAAATAGTTTTGGTGCAATTTTCAATATTGTCATTCGTTTAAATAATTTTGAAAAATTTCGATATACTCACTCATTGGGGGCAACTTTTTGCAGTTTTTTGTTTCATATACATCAATTTACATGGTTTTTAATTTTTTTATTTAACACCAAACATGTACTTAAAATATAATGTTAGGTAAAATTCTAAAACTAACTTTTATATGATATCCAAATTATTAGCTTATTTTTCTAATAACTAGCATTATGAGCGTGAAAATAAAAGTAAAAAGCAAATAAGTACAATAGCCAAATCTATGAACTAGTACGCATCTAGATATTAAACGATAAGTTATAGAATAGATGCTATACATAATATAAAATACATATTTATACAATAGCAAGAACTTGTTTATGAATTACTATTTGGATATTTGCTATTAAATAATATCAGGCGTCTAATACTTAGTGACCATTGTAATTGTACTTTAAACAACTAAGAACTATTTAAGTGCAATAATTAGTACATGTTATGTCCCTGCATTAGTTTTCTAATACTTTGTACTTAATTACCTGCTTATATAGTAATTATACATCGGTTTAACACACTTTACTTATAGTATTTCTATTCAAATATTTCTGTAATCAAATTCTAAAATAATATTACATCTAACATGCCGAATAGTAAGGGATAATAAAACACAATTATATATTTTAGCAACATTTTTTTATTAATTTAAGAATTCCACAATGGAACAAATGTTTCCTTCCATATAATCTATATCTAAGTCAGATGTAGGTACGTGTAGGGATCCAACTGCGTTTACTTTTAATAATTGGTGCTCATGGACTATCAGAATATTACCTGTATCAGAATCCTTTAACATTTATTTACATCTTCGTATTGAATATATGTGAAAACTCTGACATCAAACTATTACATTAGAAAGGTAACGATTGCTTATTTTCAATTTAAAAACGACAATATTGAGAGAAAATTTGTAATCAAATATATCCAATACGGATTCAGTACATCGAGAACGTCAAGCGAAATTACTAACTCACACACAACATAAAATACTTCTATGTTTACATGAAACCGGACTCAAATCAGGCCTTTCATGCGCACATCTGAAATCCATCCCAATGTTGCCCGCTTCAAAGCAAACATAACATTTACGCCCTAAATTTATTATTAACCTAATAAATTATAATTGCAAATTGTTACCACGCTAAATAATTCGCTAGAATAAAATCATTAAGGAAAAAAATTCTCTAATACAAAAACTCGTCACGCGCCTTCAAATTTCATCATAAATTCGTAACCGACCTTTGAAATTAAAATCTCGAAGGCGTTTTGTTTATATTTGAAGTGTACGCGTCTGACACAAAGAAGCGTTGCATGTGGTCAAACCATTCGCCAAATTCTCCGCTACGTCCATCTTACGTTACTATTTGTACATTAATTTTTGTATATTTTATGTACATTCAACCCGCTTCCATCCTAACTTGCCTTACCCTTTATAATACAAAAAAATGAAGTCAACTAATAAAATATCTATTGTAAAATCACAAGTAGTGCTATTCTTACTGTTAAGAGATTTTATATATTTTTTCATATATATAAAAAAGTCGCTTAAAAAAATCACAGACAATCACTTTCCCCTTTACAGACATATACCATCGACCGATTATTCCCTTACTAAGCATTGTTACCTCTACGTACAAAAATCTACTTAGTTTTACAACCATGGTGGTTTACATACAATCTTATAATCGATCTTAACACGATTTTATCATCCTAACATGTACTCGGGCGAGTACATCAGTATACCCTTGTTCGTCGCGAGACTCAAACCAAATCAATGCCAAATTATGCTTGCGTACCCCCATTATATCCCCGGTTCCGTGCTGATGTTACCTGCTCATAAGTTACTATACTCCCAATTTAAAAAGGTCGTCAGTTTTAATGAATGTCTAATAAATAGTAGTTGTTCTTTTTGTTATCGTAATAATTACGTAGTCACATTTTAGGCACGGAACCCAGATACAATGCTCCTTAAGAGGAAAGTAAATCTAACATTCTCGAACGTTCCATTATCCATCCGCGGGCTGTCCGTACATAATAAATCGCCAAATTCCACCCGTACTATTTGTACTTTGCACGAACTATGCTAAATTATATCGTACTGATGGTGCACCAAAAATATAATTTTGGCAACATATAAAATCCGATATCATTACCTTTTTTATATTAAATTTGTACTGACAGTATCTTAAGACTTTTCAATTTGTACTATAGTTCTGTTCGTTGTAGTACACAATGTGTTGTTTATTTACTTATTTAATTACAAATATAAATGGAGAGACATTCACTCGAATTCGACATTAAGTACATAAGTGACATCAAGACAGTACAACGTAATAATTTAGATGTATAAATATGATGAAACTTATGTATATACATTTATTAACACATTATCTCAAAACTACATTTAGACATCGATTCCATTAAAACATTATCAAGGGCAATATTTATATCAAAAAACAACAAATTAAACTTACTGGTAAAAGAAATGTAAAATAATTTAATATCTAATATTGCCCCTTGAAATATTAAATATTTTTTGAAATTCATTTATTTTTTTTATAAAAAAACAGTAATTTTATCGAAAGTGTCGAAGTGATAGAAGTTCACTGTTCACTCTGTTGTTTCATTATTCTTTGGTCTCATTATTACATGACTTTAATTAAAAATAGTTACTAAAGCCATGTAATAAGTTGCGCGTACCGAAATCAGCTGTTTATATACCATTTGTTTTGGCAATATTAATGTTACGGTTTTAACCCGCTGTACTAACGAAGTCCCGATGACGCGTTAAAGTTCTCTAGTGAAATCCGCAGTGAATGATGTTAATACGAATTAAGTCTAAGAAATAGAGAACGTTTATACATGATGTTTCTTACGGTCAAATTCGTTGAGATGAATCCTTGAGACTAGCTTACTGCCGAATGCTAGAACACCCTAAGAATATAAAACGTCGAATGATACAAATATCGATCGAGTGCAAGTTTAGGTACAATTCGAATATCTTAAATAATTTACTTAAAATTACAATAAACATTAAACACGATGGACGGGTGTAACTTGTCGAGAAAAGAAACAAAACAAGGATTAGGATGAAGAGAAGCATAACGGGAAAAAGGGGAAAACAAAAAAAACAAAACAAAAAAAATAATTTTGTTACAATTTTTAATTCGCAGAAACCTAACAAACAATAATTTTTCATTTTCATCTCCTTAAAACATAGTAACATCTATGCAACACAAAAATTAACTGGGGAAAAATTAATAATAATAAAGTTATGAATTAAAATGTTTTATACTCCGGAGAGTGAAGAAAGGTACATTTAGATTACGTCGAAAAAAAAACTCTTGGCCAATCCCCGACACACAGCGTGCTATAAAATGAGGTAGAACATCAGTGAGATTATTAAAACTAGCCTAATTAACACTTACGTACTAAGGTTTTAGGAGCCCAACTCAGGCTAGAGGTAGATTTATATTGCCCGCGGTAACATCTTGACATACACCCTTGAGCCAATCGCCGAGTCAAAGCACTCACTACTCTCCAGAGATTCAATTCACGTGATCTTCCTTTACATTTTAAATTACCATCATTTTTCAATAATTCAATAAAATTGTATGAATAAACGTCCAAATCTCAACAACATTACATTAATTTACTCAATAGATATTCACTTAAAATCTGATATACATTTAATAGTATTCCTAGAAGATTAAAAATCTGTGACGGCGTTAAAATCCGTATCGCTATACTTGAATCCTGAGGTAGCTTTTTTGTACTCTTAATTTTTTTTTTATTTTTCTTAACACACTTAACATTTAGAGTTTTAATTTTTTTTCTTCATATAAAAATCTATTTAAAAGCTTACTTACGACTAAATTATATTCCTCGAGGTAGATTAACTTACAAACTAATTGAACTGTGCAGCAGTGTACATAATGCGTTGAATAGATTTTAAAATCGTACTTCGACACTCAAAGAGTTGCGACGGGCAATATGTACAGTGCTGCACAGCCCATGTGACGGCAGAGGGTCACCATACCCGTAACAATCTTTGGCTTTACCATCACGATACATCGCGATATATTTACAATTAAAAGAAAACTTAAAAAGAAACTAAACAATAGATATAATCAATAAAAGAAGCGAAATTAACGTCATAAAATAAGCAAAAAAATTTTTCGATTTACCATTCTGACGCTCCTTATATAAATGGTAACAAATTTTGAGCGTATCAAAAGATTTTAACCACATTGTTGTTTAACAAATCTTTAAGATAACAAAGGCGAAAAACTTAAAGTAGAAATAGAAACAATCACTGGTCACGTACGCCAAAGACTTGAGATCCACGCGATCCGTGACGTACTTTCCACCTAATTTCTTATTAATATAGAGCCACAATGGTAAGGGATTGACCAGAGCAATCGGGATTGCATACACCGACTAAATGTGAAACTCTTATCACATCTATACACCATTATAACTATTGGGGACATCTAGTAACTCGCCCTCTTACATTAATTATAACAATGCGAAAGCTTAATTTAGACAAGTTATCCGAATGTTAGTATACTGACCTTTGTACAATTATGTCATACCGTCGAAATAAAATCAGTTCAACCAAAATATTACAGCGAAAATCGACATAATTGTAATCTACAGTACCTTACGAAATTTAGAAAAAAATAAGACCAAATTAACAGCGCACTCTAGTGTCGACTCCTCTACGTTACCCCCTCGATGACTTATCCAAAACAAATCCAAAGAAAGCTTAAAAACTTGATGCATTAATGCAATTCTTTTTTACATATCACAAAAAACATTAAATGTCAAAAAGAAATCACAACTATGAATTTTGAATTCATAACAGAAAAAAAACAAAATGACAAAAACAGAACAAAATTGTTCACCCCAATTATAAAAACATAATTGTCAACAATTTATAATTGAAATAGGAAAAATGTTTCCATTTAACAATACAAATACGTCTACGGAAGAAGAAAAATTATAAAATTGTCATTAACAGAGAAATAATGATGACTTCGGCAAATATTAAAATTGAATTGCAGTGCGCAAAATTGTAACTTACAAGCATATTGAAAAAATTGGTTCCAAAAAATTAACATCGAGGTTTCATTTATTCGTAAATTTGCAATTGACTTTTTCCGAAAATCTTTGAAAATAAATTGGGAAAAGCAGAAATTTTACGATGTGACTTTTTATAAATTGAATTTAAATCTTATTTTTGAAACGTAGGGTCGATTATTGAGTTTTTGAATTCACAGAAACAAAACATGTACTGCAAAATTCTGAAACATTCATCCCAAACGTTACAAATGTATTTTTTTATTATTGTTGTTATTGACGCCAAAAAATATAAATTTAATCCTGGCAGTTACATATAATTCGTGTAGTAGTCGTTAAAATTATTTGTAAAATTTCCCCTGTGCTAACAAAATTACAAAATAGTTTTGTTAAAAAATGTTACAAAATATAGAACTGTTATGGTATAAATGCTTTTTTCATGATTTTTTGTTTAGATTTAAATTGCAAAAAAAAATCATTTTTGTATATGAAAACTGGTATTTAGATCTTGCATAATCATTGAAGTTTACTACATTTTACGAAATAAAAAAAACTGTAAATAACGAACCTCTTATAAAAATGACGACACCTACGATATAAAGAAATCACTGAGCCTTCATAAAGCAAATAGTATAACATAATTCAGTGTATCCTAAAATATAAATATAATAAATATGAATGCAACTCATTCCTAAATATCAGGAATGTAACACGCAGTCGCTACATTCACACTTAACAAAAAAAGGAATAAATAAATTAAAAATGTGAACATAATGAGGATATTTGGCACTGTCCCACTTCAAGTTAAACATAACTGAACAGCTCGGATAATGTAAGGTTTAAAAGACCGCGGCCGTCGGCGCACACGCAACATTATAATACAATTGCACCGACGACACACCTAAATTAAATAATCTTTTAAATCTCAACCGGCACTTGACATGACTAGGTAAATAAAAGTAGCAATCCTTCGTGTAAATGCACAATCATTAAACAAAACAACGGAATGTTAAAATCGACACCATCGCGTTAAAACATATAATAATTTGGTCTCAATAGTAACATCCGCGATGCGAGCCGGTGCGACCAGTAACGGATTGTAGGACATACACGCCTTGATAACGTACACAAAAAAAATTAATAACACTTTTTACCTAACTACTTATGTATCTAGGGCAAAATTGTACTTCGTACAAACTGAAACTGTTCGGATTTACTGTACAGTATTCAACTGTTTATCCCGCTATCTCAACACTGACTACGTCAACTCTTAATGACAATGTGGCAAAAGTCAAACAGAGACAGTTCACTATTGTATCACAGATGAGTAATAATTAAAAATTAAACCCGTAAATAACTGACTATTGAATATTGCGTATGTACAGAATATAAAAATAAAATAATAATTGTGTAAAATTTGCCACAAAGTCGTGTTTAACGCGTGTCTCAACCTAGGCCAAGGCGAAATACAATATTCTCCTATTATTTACATACACTTAGCCTATGACCATCAGTCTCAACATCATTTCTAAGATTCCCTAGCTCAGATAATATAAAATAAGCCATGTCTCACTCGACCGAGAGCTCAGAATAAATCGTCTACAAAGGTAACTTTATCTCACAGTCAAATTAAGGTACATAACACATCCAGGGGTGCGAAAAGTAGGTACTATATTTTTTAAACATGGTACCGAGGTAATACAGACGAGCGATGAGCAACCGTTCGAAGTCAACACGTGACTGACACAATCAAAAAAAAAAAAACAAAATTAAGTAACAATTATAAATCGTAAAACTTCCGAAAAACCTTATAAAAATCCTAAGATCAAATTCTGAGGTAGACTGTTTACATAATATGCATCATTGAGGTATAATTATTGTACGTTTTTACGAAAATAGAGACTCGGCTAGGGTGACCATGATTTATAAAATATAATCGGGACAATCTTAAATCGTAATTCTAATTTGAGGTCACCCTAGCCGGTCGAAGTTGCAGAGGTAGATCGGTTGATAGAGAATTTGTAGGGAATTAAATGTAAGTCTTACTGCGTGTGGTTGGGGAGAGGACCCGGGTGGAGGGGCGCGACGGCGTGGCGGTGCTCGCGCGCGATGTGCCGGCGCACGGTGTTGTTGCGCGTGAACGTGCGCGTGCAGTGCGGGCACGGCACGCGGATGCCCTGGTGCCGTTGCCGGATGTGCGCGCGCAAGTTCGTCTCGTACCCGTAAAGTCGCTCACAATATGGACATTTTAGTTTTTTACCTGGAAGCATTTTGTTGTTGTGTTAAGTTAAGAAATATTTGGAACATAAAATACAGCGTTTTTCCATTTGCTCCGACTTGAAGGACCAAATAGTATTTATGCCAAATGAAATAATAGGGACAATTGTAAAGGTTCACACAGAAAAATGCTTTATGTAAACTATTCAAGAAATATCTTCTATCTTACCATCAGCAGTAGCAATTCCTCCAGATTTACTAGTTATGATCTTAGCTGGCCAGATATCGGGGCTCGTCTTCTGCGGCACGGGCGACGTATCCGCAGGCTTGTCGTGGTAGTTAGTAGTCGGCATGGGCAGCGCCGGTGGCGGCGAAGTGTTGTACCCACCCTGATAGTCGTTCTCACTCTTTATCCGTAAATCTGAAAGAAACAGCAACACTGATTGAAGAATCGTTTTGCAACTAACATGTGATAATGGGAACAATAATATTAACATTAGCAGGATGACATGTCATTGCCACGCCACCATGAGATGTATTTAGAATTAGCAATGAATTTCCATATGCAGTAAATTTAAAATAAACGCATTATATTGTATGTTTTCCTGTCTGCATTTCATGTAATTGTTTTAGTCGCATTTTATATAAAACATCCGGTAATCCGATCTTATCCAAAACATCATCATAATGAATTATCTTTTTCCCACGATGTTCGTCCAAAAGTTTAATTTTAAATTCCTAACGGATTTCTATACACATTATATACCTATTATGTAACTATTACTATACTTCCATTCTCTGGAGTACGTGTATCTGAGGTTGAGGGGATATTGAATACGAAAAAAATAAAAAATGAACCTTCAGCTCCCTGGTCATTAGAGAGGCGCTCCATGTCCTCGTTGGCGCTAGCGCTGCGCTCGTAGCCGTTGTTCTTGGGGTTGGCAAGCGTGGAGGTGCACTCTGCGGGCGCGTCCTCGTAGCGCGCGCCCGCCCCTGCGCCCCCGCCAGCACCTGCACCTGCTCCCGGCGACGACCGCGTGTCCGGCTCGTCAGCCACACTGCCGCAGTGCGACGATGAGGAACTTTGCCTGTAAAAAAGAAGATGTGTTAATTAGTTGTTATTGGCTTTTGGGACAGCTCTTACCGATTGAAGAACTTGTCATAGTACCTGTAATTCCTTGCATGCGGGCTGGGTACAGTTTTGGGGGCAGCCGGTCGCCGATGCGACGGCTGGTGCATGGGCATGTGTGCCGGCGGAGCATACCGACCCATACCGCCGCTGCTGTGTATCGGCACGCCGTACTGCGGCATGATAGGCGCAAAAGTGGCCGTGTGTGACTGCGGTGTCGCCTCCTGCGCCTCGCAGCTCCCCGAACCCGATACTGGGCTCGTCTTGATCCGTGCCTGATGACGTTCGCCGGTCGACTGCTGCGTCTGTTGCTTCATCCAAGCGTCTTGAGACATTTCCATTGAAAGGCCCTTAACCTGGAAATTTCAATTTTGTATAACTTACGATAATCAAGAACTCCAGATCTTCAGAGTAATCCAAGAATATCAGACATTTAAGACGAGTCTGCAGGACAACTTGTAGTTCGATGACTCTAAAAATCAATTTGTACCTGTAAGTTCTCCCCGCTCTTAAGGAAGCTGGACAGCGCATCCTGGCTGACGTGCACCTCGCCCTTGTACATGAACTCGAGCAGCGCCTGCATGTTGTCGGCGCTGGTTGCCTCCAGGATGACGTAGCAGGCACCCGCATGGCTTGGCGGCGCGCTGTCGAACAGCTCCTGGAAGTGCTTGCTGCACGCCGCCAAGATAACCTTGTGCGCCTTGAACTGACGACCTGGAATAAAACATTACTTATTGTACTTTAAGTTTCACGTGTACAATACTCCAGTCATAGGAAATGCGAAAAGAGAATATTATACAAATGGCGATCGGGCGCGAGTATTTTGCAGATTTGGTCTAAGTTATTTAGATCTCTGGGATTATTTAGATCTAGACGCACCAATAAGACATAACGATCAGACAAGTATTGTTATCGTGATGATTAAAACATCAGAGTTTTTTGTGCATTCATGTGCAAGAAAATGTTTTAATGGTGCAATGTTGTTTAAACTATCAACCAACTCTTATGTTAAAATAATACAACTGAACGGTTACGGTCCAGTTATAAGCAGAGCTTGCTACGCGACAATCGACCTTGTAGTAGGAGTTTAAAGTGTGTAATCGTAAGCATATCCGTAGTAATGTATACGACATTATATCGCAGACCCTTGAGACAAAACTCACGGTGGTCCACAGTTCTAAGAAATGTACCGGACCACGGAACTTCATACGATTTGTTTTTAATTATAAATGAAATGTTCAGTGTTTTGTTACTGGAATTTGAGGTAAGTTTACAAATAAATACCCGACAGTGACTATAAAACTTAGTTTACTTTCTAAAATACAAATCACTAGCTTTCGCTTGCGACTCCGTTCGCGTTGAATTAGAAAAACAAAAGTGAGTAGCCTATGTGTTCTTCCAGACTATCCTCTACATCTATACCAAATTTCATCGAGATACGTTCAGCCGTTTAGGCTACAAACTCTAACAAACATTCATCCTTCCATCTAAAGTTTCGCATTTATAATATTAGTATGATATAATTAACAGATATTTTCAGATTATTAGATAGAAACAATCCCTTACGGTGAAATTAAAACTAACCTCATAAGTTAATTATAAATTAACTGGTCGATGACATCATTATTAATTATTTATTCAGCGCATAACGATAATGGTATATGACGTTGACAAATTTCGTATATTCTATGCGCGTACATTTACCAAATTAGTATTCGTCTCTAAGAGAATATTACATCATTATTAATAAGGAAAATTATAAGCACATGGAAACTATTCAGTAATCAGCAGAACCACACGTTTCTATGCAATTATATGCGCTGCCTAAACGTTGTAAGAGAAACATTTCCTGTCGCTGAATATAATTACCATTATTCATACACTGGTGAAATATATTTTGAAAAATCCTTATAAAAACAGTTAAAAGACCCTTATTGATTATCATATTAAGCGTTAATTTTATAAATCTCATTTTAGTGTGTTCGAGCCAAAGTGCTAATAACTAGGAATATTAAAACTCTATTTCTAATTTGGTTTTATACAGTACTCTACAATGTATGTAAAAATCCTTATTTTTAAATGTTTGTTTTAAGTCAGTCATAATAAACTAGTTTATTTTTTTAATTTCATTTCACTGTTTTGTTAAATACAAGTTACCAATTGAACATTTTATTAGAAAAGTGACGATGAAAGTATTATCATTATACAACGTGAACTCCCTTAAAAATGCTCTTCATCATGGTAATATTTAGAAACAATGGCTGCTCCGAGCGTGCCTACATCTGGAGTGTGACGTCAGAGAGCATGGCGCGGAACTAACTCATAGCCTTGGTCCGGCACTCTGAGACGAGGAAGGCCAAACTTAACGTCGAGACTGTACCTACGAGACAGTTTCCACTGTCGAAAAACAAAAGTACATTGTCCTATCAATTATTCACGTTTTAAAAAATGATATAACAATACTTCTTCGTATTGATTTGGTAGTAGTAACTAACGATAATTTTTATATACGTAACTAAAAGTATTCTTTTTATGCAAGTAGGAAGCAAATGATCCATTTGTAAGGGCTAAAGTTCAAATCATAATCTTCAACAACGACCATCAAAATTATATTCAATTTTGTTATAGGAATTCAATCGAAGTATAGTATAGTAACTATCGATTAATCGTAATATCGATGCGCCAAATTTCGATTCATCTCTCGATTTTTCCATCGCAAGTCAGCGAGCAACCTAACAGCGTCCCTGCTATGATCGTTCCGTTCTGCTCTCCGCCCACAGATTATCTCAAACACTTCCTCGTTTCGTTCTCAGCTTCATTTGTTTGCTCTAACACTCACACGTGGTTATTGTCTGCGTTACGACGCAAAATAAGCGAAATTAAGTTTTTAAACTATAGTATTAAAAATTAATTAATTTAATTTAATATATTCTTACATTGTCCACATAAGTATTATTTTATTTTATGTTTTTTATCTGTGGTTAAACTAAATTTCTGTTTCCTTTAAACCAATCCGCTGTGGGAGAGCCATAAACAAGAAATAGACTAGAATAGTTTCCTTTAAATTAGTTCAGAATCGTTCATCCTTCCCTAGACTATTTTCCTTCTCTTTCCTTAATTTTGAAATTATTTCCTAGTGTATTTCTATTATTTCCACCTTGTAGTAACTATTACCCAATTAACCTCAAATGACACTATAACTTATAAGGTAGAGCAACCAAAAAAACGTTATCGCTACCGACCTTTTCGTATTAATTTGTTACTACCATTAACCTACTAAATACCAGTTTAATATACCTTAATAGAAATAATAGGACAGCATTTATATGTGAGAGTGAATAAAACCAAAACATGCACTTATAGAATCTTAATTAAGTTGTTATATAAATAGAAATAGAAATAATTTTATTGAAAAATAAGAGATTAACAGTTACAATAATAATACCAACTAAAAGATAAATACAAACCGTTGTTAACATCAGATTAATCTGGTGATGCCCACATTAGGCAATGCCTTTATCGTGGGCATCGAAAACAGCAGGAAAAAATGTTCATATTTTCTTTTATCTTTTTATACAAATATTACATTTGAGATAATTAGAATATAAACTATAACCTTTTTTAACTTTTCTTTAGTACAAAAGGCTACAATACCATTAATCTCTGATTGAAGAAAACTTTTAGGGCCTGTCTAAATATGTGATGATAACGTCGGATTTTGATATCTTATCCATGCCATTTTGAGCTATCCTCAGATAGAGGCTCACCTCTATCAGCCAGTGGTGGGACATGCCCTAAAGCCCCAATAAAATATTTAACAATTAATTTATATCAGAATTTCCCAATATAGGAACAATCTACACATAAGGAAGTGGATTTCAAATAGAGTTTAGACTAAGATAAATCGCTTCGTTATCGTATTTACAGATAACTACACAAACTTCACGTTACAACGGTCGTTGGGTATTTCAAGAAAATATCTATATGGTAAATTCAGAAATGTTACCATTCATCAGCCATGTTACTCCAAGAAGTGTAAATTCGTAAATAATTCACAATACTTTTACCTTAAATACGGTCATGAATTGTATTTAAAACGTTGTGAAATAGTCAATCAGTACTACTAAACAGATTAACTAAAGTTGCCAACATAAATAAACATTTTTTTTTATAATATTAGCTGGCAAACGAGCCACCTGAATCCACCAAAATGGAAAGCGACCGCTGTATGGACAGCGGTGTTTATGGAAACATCCGCAATTGCAGATGCGTTGCCTACCCTTCATTGACGGAGGAGAAGACGCACATAAAGAGGACATTTCCCCTTCTTATGCGTCTCCTCCACCGTAAAATCCACCTTTCCTTCCCATCCTTTCCTCTTAAGAAAAGGGTGGAAAGAGAAAGGGAAGAAAATTAAGCCTCCGGCACCACACTCATCAAACGAAACGCGAAATACTATTCTTAGTTAAACATTCAACTAAGAATTGTAATATGAAATATTACTTCATACAAATTAGGACAATCAACATTGGGTCGGTTTATGCGGGAGTGCATGAGCATTGCAACAGCAGCGCCGCGGCGGAGTAAAGAGGAAACAAACGACATTGGTCGACGCATGCGCTTGCAACACCGCGACATTGGCCCCATTCGGAGACCCACTAACGCTTATCTGACGGCACTTCGTATGGCATATTTTTTTTTCTAAATTCGAATTATAAACTGTAATTTTGTATATTTTTATTTGCGACTTTGATACAGACCTTTTTCTTTTAATATAAAGTTTATTTCACCTATTTTGGAGACATAAACAATAATTTCAAATATCTGCCATTTAATTAATCTGGATTCTAATATTCCTCCATATAAACAGAATATAAGCCACGTATGTAAACTTTATATATTCATATAAATTCGTAAAATATTCTCTCCTATATAATAAAGCTGTCTAAAACCTTTGAAGTTAATGTTTAATATATTAACATATGTATTATCATTAAATTTAATTCTAATGTTTTATAGTCGATTCGACGTTGACGTCATTTGACCTCGCCTAAATGTCTTCTACTAGGAAATTATGCGGCCCTTTGTCCTTCACACGAAGGCGATCCGAGTACCCAAAGTCGACAAACAAGCTTCCGCATGTGCAATTATAAACTAAATGATATACAAAAAGATTATAAATATTTAAAAAAGCCCGTAACCGGGATTCTCTGGGGTTTTCCGAATGACATTTCGTTTCTAGTAGATCAAAATAAACGGACGGGTGTTTCCCGTTGACCTGTAGATGGGAATATTTTCCCGTTCGGTCAAATGATGGGTAGGCTGATTGAAACTGGAAACACCCGAATGGATAAATACATAGCCGCGGTAAATATCACCCTTCTGTCTGAGCAAAAAAATATTAAGCTAGAGTACTTATGCTGGGTTGCTGATGTTTTTATTTATTTTATCACGAGCTGTTGCCCGCGACTTCATCCGCGTGGTATTAGAAAACATACGAACTATATAAATAACAAAAAGCTACGTATCCCTCGGGAACCGGACACCTCGGGGATGAAGCTTATCGCATGTATACTCCAGACTTTGTTTTACATCTGTGCCAAATTTCAATAAGATATATTGAACCGTTGCAAAATGATCGAGTAAACATTAAAAAACTAAATTAATGAATCCCACGGGAACCGTAACTTATCCCGGGATAAAAAGTTACGTAT